TACTCTGGGGTTCAGTTCCAAGTAAGATTTTGTGGCCCTCTTCTTAATTCAAACCCACCTGCTGGGTTACAGGCAAGCCATATTTTTGTTTGTTCTTCTTAGACTTTTTTTTAGGTATCATTTACATACAGCGAAATACCTATATTTTAAGTGTACAGTTTGATGAGTCTTACACAGTTCTAGTCAAGAAAAGGACATTTTTATCACCCCAGAAAGTTTTCTTAAGCCTCCTTCCAGGAAACCACCCCACCAGCGTTAACACGGTTCTGGTTGTTACTATTTAATCACGCAAATCAATGTGGAGTACGTTTTAACACCCCGGAAAGTTCTCTTATGCCTCATCCAAGTCAGCACCTGTTCCCACAGGTAACTGTAATTCTGGCTTTTTTCGCCGTAGATCAGTTTTGCCTGTTCTTGAACTTTTCATGTACATGGAATCATTACGCATTCTTCTTTTCTGTCTTCTTTTGCACAACATCATTTTCTTTTGAGATTTGTCCATGGTGAGTATCAGTTGTTTGTTCCCTTTCCCTTGCTGCGTAGTATTCTGTTGTGTGTATGTGTATCAGTTGATTGATCCGTAAGCATCACCCTAGGCCTGGCTTGTCCTATGATTTTCTCTTCTTCAGCAGCTTCTGAATTAACTTCTTTCTCTCCTTATTCCTCTTTCTCTCAGTCCTTGAGCGAAAGCTGGAATGTGAGCCCCTGGCAAGCAGGACTGTGTCTGTTTCGTCTATTGCTGTATCCTCAGTGGCTAGGACTGAGTGTGACATGAAGCAGATACTCGATGTTTATATAACGAGTGAATGAATAGGTGTGCAGAGTACATAGTTTTAAAAAATTGTTTACCAGTCTGGCTCTGGGTGGTACCAAGCAACTCAGAACTACAGGATTCCTAGGACAGTCCCTTTGCTCACAGACTTAATGTGAATTTCTGGCCCCATGGATCATGCCCAAATGTTCTCTGCAAGAGCTTCCCTAAGCTCTCGACTAGATTAGGCCGCTTCACAGGCCTCATAACTGTTCCCGTCACCCCATCGTGACTCTCATTCCACATTATTGTCAATGCGTCTTTAATTGGCTGCCTTACCCCGTGAGTCCATGGGCACAGACAACCTGTATTTCTTTTCACCACTAAATTGCACACACTCAGCACTCCGTCTGGCACGTGAGAGGCACAGAGTACACACCAGTTGGGGTTTCTTTCACAGGGAGTCTCTCTCTGCCAGGTCGTTCATCTCAAGACCCCACAATTAGACAAAGCCCTTCATGCACAGAAAGATGGATTTGAAAACATGGCCTGTGCCCATTCATATGTGGAAGCCCTAATCCCAATGTGATGGTATTAGGAGTTGGGCCTTTGGGAGCTGATTAGGTTTAGATGTGGTCGTGTGTGCAGAGTCCCCATTATGGAATTAATCCCCTTGTAAGAAGAGGAAGAGACCAGCACCATGTGAGGACACAGCAAGAAGGCAGCTGTCTGCAAACCAAGAAGAGGGTCCTCACCAGACACTGAATCTGTTGGAACCTTGATCTTGGACTTCTCAGCCTCCAGAACTGTGATAAATACATGTCTGTTGTGTAAGCCACCCAGTCTATGGTGTTTTGTTATAGCAACCCAAGCTACTAAGACAGCCTCTGTGGAAGATTTCTACCTAAGTTATAACATTAAATGGGTAGAATCATGTTTTTTTCCTTCAAATGTTTTAGTCCAGATGTTGAATCTGTGAATGTGCTGGGTGGGTCATAGTCATGGGAACCTAGACATTTACTTGGCATTGTCCTGGGGAAATCTTAGCATGTTGATTTTCACCCAAACGCTTGGGAACCTGGAGCCTGGAAGTACTAGGTCTATGACCCCTACATCAAGTTCCATTTCCTTACATGATTGTGATCCCAGCCTTTAGTCCCTGCAACAAAGGGTCCGGGTCCCAGAGAAGTGTCAGCTATTAGGGGCATGTGGGCTGTCATTAGGATCTCTGTGGATTTCCTTTATTTGCAGCATAGACTCTTCAAGGGTTCATGTAGAGGCTTCAGAAGGGGTTCGTGAATTCCTGAAATGATGTACAGAACTCTAGGTAGTAGTAGGCTTATGTGCATTTCCCTGGGGAAAGTCTGGAACTTCTCACCACATTTTCATAAGGTCCTTTGTATCAACCAAAGTTAAAGACTACTCTTACAGACTTCCTTCAGTGATCTTTCTGGTTAATTGCTTAAACATCTCAAGTACAAGAGGAGAAAACGATGGGCGGGAGTGCTACCTGGGCCCTGAGTTCCAAAGCTGCCTACACCTCCTTCTAGCTTCATGGGCTCTCCCTGGTCCTTGGTTTCCTGTCTGATGACTCTGGTGGTTGGATTAGGTGTCTTCATAGAGTTCTTGCACTGTCCATCTGAACAGTTCATCTCAGAGAGGACAACTGATACAGATAAACACGGTCTTTCTGTGCATTATTTAAAAAGGTGGTACCTACCAAAAAAATCATTGTGTCTCATTCCTGCTTTTTTCTCTTTGAACACTAGTACATGTGGCTTCTAAAGAATGCCATTTATAAATCTATAAGTTACTGAAAACAGGAAAAACAAGAATAATCTGATGGCCTCTTGGTGCCAAGTACAGGAAACACTAGGATGTACTTCCTGACAATTCTTGAGGGGTCAGAGGGAAAGATAGTCTGCACATGGACGTGTAAACTAGTTTGTCATTTGAGATGGAGACATTTATATCCTCGAGGGAATGTTGGTTACTCTACTTGCACCTACCTTCAGAAATACATGAAAAGGGACTAAACATTTGGAAAGATTGATGCTTTGTTTTCTTTCTGGTGGTCAGCAGTTTACTGCTAATGCCTGAAATAGGAGAGAAGAAACCATTGTGGAAAGTCAGTGGAAGAGAGTTTAATGTAGCCACTTGCTCAAGCCTTAAAGTATTAAAGCCTGCTGATCTTAATTCTGTCCAGAGCTGGTCTGTGAATAATTATACTAAGGAATTGGACAGAGTCATCACAGAGCTATGAAATATCACCCGTGGGGCCTCATTGGAGACTGATGGGAACTCTGGAGAGTTGATAATGGTGATCAAAGGGTCTATATATTTAAAATGCACAGAGGATGAGCCCAGAAATTATCTGCCTGCCAACTTCTCTACCTGGAACAAATTATCCAAAAATCAATCTGCAAACACCTTTGAGATAACAAGGCCTTGAGTAATAACCTCCATGGCTTTGTAAAGAAAAGCATCTAGCTTGACTCATCTGCTTAATTTCCTTCTCTGACCAAATGGCAGGCTATAATAGAGGCAATCTGAACTTGTCCCTGAAGGTTTGCTTCGAGTCACACTGAGAAAATATTGTCCACCTCTGCTTCATAATGATTATTCTCTTTCAGGAGAATCTTTGTTGCTAGATAATTAATTAGAAAGAAAACACTGAATGAGCCCTATCTATCCCAGAGCTCTCACCTGAGTTCCAAACTGAAACTCATACCTGCCTTAGCCACCTGAATAGCTCAGAGGCTCTCCAGAAGTTCTTGAGCACAGCTAAGTTGTACTCCACCCCCAGATGCCTTCCCCACCCTTCACTTCCTAGTTCTACTCCAAGAATCAATAACTTGTTCATACCCTTTGATAGATAATCCCTTCCTGGAAGTTGGTCCTAAGAAAATATGAGACGAGATGGACTGGAATCATTTGCACAGAGATGTTCATTGCAGCAAACAACTCATGTGCCCAACAATCAGAGAATAATTAGTGTAATTATCTGATGGATCGTTCTATCACTATTAAAGAGAGCGATGGTAAAATCCACATAGTATATAAACAAAGTCCTTTGGATCTAATAAGTGAGGGAAGGAAAGAAAATCTACATTGGGTCTGTGTGTTACTGTAGCCACAGAAATATGGTTTAAGTATACGCATAGAAATTGGAATGGAACATGGAGAAATAAAAATGGTGATTATATTGGGTGGTAGGGAAGGGGGCCTATCTTCTCTTTCTTCTCACTTCTTTATTGTTGTCCCACTGCCATTTTTTGCTACAAATAAAAATAAATATATCCACATTGATCTGTAGAAAATGGGTATCGAGAGGCAAACAGCTTTCCAAAGGGAGAGCTGGTCTTGAAAGGCATCAGATGTGGGTCCCATCCTGCCTTACCTGCTCCACTGTCTTGGTTAGGTGAACTGATCACTTGGGTTCTGTTTTTTAATTCATTAAAACGGAGGTGATAATGTCCCAAGTATTACACAAAGTGTTGCAGATGAGATTTTCTGGTAAATGAGGATAAAGTAAATGATAATTTGCCAGTGAGCTAAAAATTGCCGGAAAGAGGCCACCATTCATGCTTTGCTGCAATTCTGGCCTGTTTAGCTGAGGTTACAGAACTTAATGGAAGAGAGATGGCAACACATAGGAGATCCAAGATTACTCAGCATGACTTTTCCCTTGATCCTTGATTCCCACTGGGGTCACTGTGGCCAGCGCCCCTCTCTCTGATGGTGGAGATCGCTAGGGTTGAGGAAGAAGCTGAATTCCTGCTATGCCATCATCCCTTTGCTACTTAGGCTCCTATCACTATTTGGAAGAACATCCACTAACAATCTACGTGTCCCTATAAAAGAAATGTTTGTAAACTCCTGCCTCTCCTGGGTTTTGAACCAAACTCCGCTTTAGTAAAGGCAGGTTCTCATTTGAGGATAGAAAAGAGACTATTGCCCCAGGCATCTTTGCCGTGTTCAAGAAAAATCTTTTCCTCACAATGGCCATCATTCTTTCCTTTCTTTAAATGAAGGAGATACAGTAGGTGTTGAATATAGTTACTTAAGAAATGCTGATTCAGGTATTTACATACAATGATTTAATTAAAGTAGGACGTGAATGGGTTGAGAAAGGGATTTGGGCTGTTTTCATTGGCTGTCCGGAATTCTGTCCTTTGTCCTCACGTGTTTGGAGTCTGCTCTGTAAACCATTTGGGTCTGACATCCTTTGCTGATTCCTGTCTTTCAGAGCCTCCCACACCCATCGCCCCCCCAGAGCTGCTGGCCGTGGGGGCCACATACTTGTGGATCAAGCCGAATGCCAACTCCATCATTGGAGACGGCCCCATCATCCTGAAGGAGGTGGAGTACCGCACCACCACCGGCACCTGGGCAGAGACCCACATCGTCGACTCTCCCAACTATAAGCTGTGGCACCTGGACCCCGATGTGGAGTATGAGATCCGGGTACTGCTCACGCGACCAGGGGAAGGGGGCACGGGACCACCAGGGCCTCCCCTCACCACCAGAACCAAGTGTGCAGGTAGGACTCTTCTTCCTGGCTCCGTTTTGAGAGGTTGGGCAGTTGCTGGGAGTGATTGCTCCCGTGACAGTAATTCCTCCACTTTGGTATGAGTGTGCTTCCTGCTGTGATAAAAAAAACACCAGAGTTTTGGTCTTGCCTTAGAGGCTCCAGAGGCATCTCTGGGGACCTCCTGGCTTTGACTGGGAGTCTAAGAAGCACCTGACTCTAGCTGTGTCATGGAGAGGTTCCTGGTCCTGACAGTGTTTCCCGGGACACTGGTTCCCTCTCTCCAAGGGCTTCTGGTGCCACTGGCGTGTCTGAGCCTTCCTAGTGCTGACAGTGTCTCTCAGGGCTCCTGGCCTTGTTTCTTTGAGGGCTCCTGGGCCTGCTTCTCTGAGAGCTCCTGGCTGTGTCTCTGAAGGTTCCAGGCTCTGGTTGTATCTCTGGGGGCTCGTGGCTCTGACCATGTGACCTGAGGCTTCATTTGGTCTATGTGTCTGAGTGGTTCTGATTCTTGTTGCGTATGTCAGGTGTTCTGGTTTTATTTTTGGCCCTGAGGATCTCTGGGCTGGGCCTGTGACCCTAATGAGCTCTTGGTTTTGACAGTGTCCCCGAGGGCTCCTGGTTCTGGTTCTGTCTCTGAGGGGCTCCTGGTGCCAGCTGCATCTTGAGTGCCTCCTGGCTCTGAAAGCGTCTCTCAGTGGATTCTGGAAATGCCTTAGTTCTTGAGAGCCGCCCACCTCTGTGTCCCTTGGGGGTTTCTGGCACCTGCTTAGGAGTCTGGGCTGAGACTCTCTGTCCAAGGGTCCTTTGGATTCTACATCCCTACAGGCTCCTGGTCAGTGTTCCCTCCAGCCAGGCTCCAACGGTTTCTCTGAGGTGTCCGGATGCTGCTAAAGAGTTTGCTGACTAGGGCTGTGTATGGGAGTGTTCTTTGTATCATCCGCAAGAGCTCTAGGCTTCTGTGGTGTTTCTAACAAGGGGTGTTGTCTGGGATTATACCCCTGACTGTACCCCTGAGATGTTCTGGCTTCAAATGCAACTCAAGAAATTAAAAGGACTCAGTGTTTTATGGGTTTGTTTGTTTTTTGCTGCAAATCACATTATTTATTTTATCTCATTTTTCCTAAGTAACCATTTGATGTAAGTACTTTTATCTCATATATAAATGAAAGAATAGAGACTCAATATTTTTTAAAGTTTTATCCAAAGTCATAGAATTGGCCAACAGCACACTCAGGATTTGCCCTCAGGTTCCCTGACTCGAATGCCCTTGATCATGTGGTACAGAGCTGGGGGTGCCCCAGTGGGGGACCAGGGAAGTGGCAACATGAGCCATTGACTTCTGAGGGAAAAGGAATCCTTGATGACTTCTGGGTGGGGAGAGAAGGACCCATCAGCACAGTGACTTCCATGGAACAAAAAAGTAAAACACAGTCAGTTCTGCTATAATGCAACATATGTGTGCCTAAAAATCGTTGCACTATTCAAAGTTATGCAGTAAAAACCACTGGGCTTATGGGGGAAAATGGGGCTGGGGTACAGCACTCATCAGTGACACACCAAAAAGAGAGGAACTAGTAAAAATGGCAGCACAATTGTACATGTGTTAATGGCTAAGATATGCATAAATACTGTAATACAAATGGGGTGTTACCGTGAAACGCCCTGGAGTTTGCCTGTGGAAGTGGGTATCAGGAAGGCTGCAGCCCATGAGCTACTGTGCAGTGGTGGAGGAGGGCTGTCTGAAAGTGCCAGTAAGCTGTGACACCATGTGTGGATCAATGTGGCTTGTAACGCACACAGTGAACGAAGGAAGCAGGTAGATGTTTGAGGTGGGTGCGTCTTGTGTGTTCCTATGTGACTCAGTCCAGCTGGGTGCGGTTTTCTGCTTCACTAGTGTTTCTGTGTACAAAATCTCACATAGCAAATGTGAAATTCACGCTGTCCTCTCTTTGTTCCCTAACATATCAATCATGTTGGAAGACATTTGCATTTTCAAAGTAAGCGTTATAGCAGAATTGAGTGTAACCATTCTTAAATATCTCAGTGGTGCGTCTTGGTAGCATGTAACCCAGAGTTAGTGAGTATTTCCTTTGCTTGGGAATATTCCTTTGAATGTTATTGAACCACCACGATGAACGGAGATGCCATTTTCTTGATTAGTTTCAAAAACAGGCCTTTGGTAAAATTCCTCATTGAAACTTGATTATAAAACTTACTACTTTAAAAAGACATAAGGATGTGTTATTAAACCAGGTAATACCTTATCTCAGCTTTGCAATTCAGTATTCATCCATAAAAATAATTGATTTGATCCTGCCGATGAGACTTTTCTCTTTCTACAGGGTTTCCAGGGTTTTTGATCTTTATAAATGATATTCAAAGCACTTTAGCAGCCCCCATGGACTTATTTGCTGATGATCATATAATGCATTTTGAAATTCAGTCGCAAGATGATCATCTCAATAAAAATTTACAATCTATTGCAAACTGTTGCCGTGGCTGTGTAATGGATTTTACATGTTGCAAACACGATTGTCTGACTATCAGTATAAAAATTATGAGTTGAAAATGCTGTTTGTGGTTTTATATTTCAAAAAATATTGATGTTTAAGTAAGTTATGCCTAAAATCTTGAATAACCCACATTTTACAAAATGTGTCATCAAAGAGGTAATCATCTTTTCCACACTGCTACTGATAGTAGAATGTTCTTTGCCTCATAATTAATTTTTAAGAGAATTCCAGGGCTGATATCCACTTGTGGAGGCTGTTTATTGGGGTTGGTAGTCTGAGTTTTTTCCCCCTTTCTCTATTCTATTATTAATCATACTGGAAATGTACTCATTATTTTACAAAACAGAAAATGAGAGAGTGTGGAGTGTGGAAGGTATAATTTCTGCCCAGAGGAATTTACAGACTGGGTTAAGATTCCGACAAAACAGCAAAGAGAGTAAAGCATGAAGTCAAGTACCGAAATAGCACACTTTGTGGAGAAAAACAAGTTTGGCGTGGAAAGAGCAATGCTGTTAAAATGATCTCGAGCAGTGGAGTTCAAAGTTTTGTCCTGAACGAAAAGCATCGGCATCACCAGGGGACTCGTTAGAAATGCAAATTCTCAGGCCCTGTTCCCTGACCTAGTGAATCAGAAATTCTGGGGATGGAGGCCAGAGATCTGTGCTGTAAGGAGCTCTCTGAGGGATGCCGATGCACACCCACATTTAAGAACCACTGATAGAGTGTCATACCCAGGTGCCACTTTGGTAGTGTGTCCATTATATTGCTTGATCCTTGAGGCAGTTCTGAGAGGTAGATGGGAAAAAACGGAGGCACAGAATCATCAGATGAAGCTCACAAGTCAATTACCTTCTTACAGCTAAATCTCTCGGCCTAAGGAACTCTCCATCACATGGTTTGATGGAGTTTCCTCTGCAAATGTTCTCTTGAGGGTGGGACTGAGTGATAAAGAGACTGGTAACTATGGAGACAAGCTGAGTGTGAATAGCCTCCATGCACTGCAGCTATAGTCCTGTTCATCAGACATCTGCTGAGTCCCTTCCATGTGCCCAGCTCTGTGCTAGGTACTGGTGGCCAAGGCATGCAACTGGAAGCTACAAGCTCAGGTATCAAGAAGATGCCAGGAGGCCCAATTCAGCAAGGGCAGGTGGCGATGATTCTGGTTCTGCCAGGTCTGCCAGGTCACTAGGTAGATTCTTGGGGCACTGGGAGCAGGTTCTAACCCTTAAGGGGAGAGATTGTCAAGAGTTTAGTTACAGTGCAGTGTCCCAGGCCAATAGTCTAGAGTTCATAGCAAGACCCTTAGCCAATTAAGCTCGAGCCTGGACAGATTTACCAGATAGGAACCTAGTAATGTGAGGATAAGAGACGAGAGCCGTAGATGACACTCCCAGGCTTCTGGTTTGGATGCCTGGGAGATGAGTGATGGAGCTGTCTTCTGAGATGGAAAACACAGAAGACACTTTAGGGGCGAGAAAGCCAGCCCAGGTTTGAATATGTTGTGTTTGAGGTGCAGCTGCACAGCAGGTGATGGTATAGGTCAACCTGGAGCTCAGGAGAGACCAGAACGTTATCTCTTCTTCTTCCAGGAGAACTACCAGGTTGCACCTGGGTTTGAAAATCAAAAGGACATCTTTGTACCAATGAAAGCAGTTTAATTCTCTTTCTTCATGCTATTCTCTTGAGATGCCCCATTCGTTTTTTTTTCTTCTATTCATCATTTTGTTCCTTTTGGTCAGTTGAATCATTCGCCATCTTTCCTGAGGTCTAAGCCTGGGGAGCAAACATGATAACGTACATCAAAGTGCTTTGAAAAGCTCAAAACGCTCTTTAGATACCTGTAATGAAACAAATCCTTATTTGTTGCTATTATTGTTATGGATGTTATGATTATGAGTAATGATATCAAAACAGGAAGCCTTACTTGTCCACTTCTCTGGACTGACTGTCATTGGAAGGGTGGGCCGTATTCTTTTGTTGTGTTTCATCATCCCATGGGAAATCCCATTTCAGAACACGATGATCATACTGTAGTCTGGACTCTCAGAGATTTTCTGGTCTAGAGCAACAGGTGGTTTTCTCTGGCACAAACGCAATAGCAGACGTCCAATCATAGGAGCTGGGTCCTAGAGGGGCACTCTGGTGCCCACCCAGTCTCACCTTGAATGCCACCTCTGATGGGGGTGCTCATGTTCTCCCATGGAAGACCAGGTCGCTGCTGGGGATCCTGGGTGGTTATTATTATTCACTACCCAGTGTTAGCCTAGTTATCATAAAACTCTGGATGGGGTCCTAGTTAGGAGCAGAGAGTATCCATTAGGTTGAAAGAGTAGGGGCAGTAGGCAGGCTCTTTGCATCAACTGTCTGGAGTCCACAAGGAGAACCAAGGCCAATGGCGTTGACGATAGGGCCCAAGGTCAGTAAGCGGGGAAGGCAGGTGAGAAGAAAAGAGGTGCAGACACCATACTGGTCCAACCTGGCCCTGCATCTTTTCTGCAG